GGGTTTGTTTAATGATTCTTCTATATAAGGTTGTGATGAAGGACGTATAGGATATTGAAATAAATATAGTTTATCATTAAGATAAGAAGATATATAAATATTATATGTTTTTATGATAGGATCGTCATCTAATAATGTCAATGAAGGATCTTTTATTGATTCTTTTAGTTTCATTTTCTCAAATTGCCTTTAAGTTATTAAATTATGATTTCCTAAAGGATATTAAGTTTATGATTAATTCGAACAATTTTAAAATCGCATATATTTGAAAAAAATATATTAGAAATCTTTAAACTTTTATTTAAATTAGCAATTCTAAATCGAGTTTTTTATACAAGATATGAACTTCATTGTTTCTAAAATTTAAAGAAATTATTTTTTTCAAATTATTTTGATATCTAAATATTTTCATTCTATTTTTAATTGTATATTAACGTTAACACATTAAAACTAACAAATATAATAATTTTAGAATATTTTTTGAACATTGGTATCAACAATAGATTTCCTTAAAAAAATTTAAAATTGTATTTAATATTTTCAATTCATTTTAATATGAAAGATACATCAAATTATCCTATAGATGCAATTTATAGATTTTATATTTTATATTCTTTGGTTTTATAATTTTTTATAAAGTATGAATAGAAATTACAAAACAAATTTACGTTTATATACCTTAGATTTAATTTATTAGTATACATATATATATAATTTCAAACAATCAAATTATAATAAACTTATTAATAATTAAAAAAATACGGATTTTTTAGAGTTTTGTATAATATGATAAAATTAATAAATTTTGAATTATGAATAGATCATATATATATATATATATATATATATATATATATATTTAAAATTCCCTAAGTTAATTTCAAATTTAAGTAGTAAGAAGTATTAGTCTATTCATAATATTCCTTTAATATATTATTCTGATTTTTATACTTGTTAATATAATCATTGAATAGAAAATTATATAAATTAAAATCTAATTAATTTTTAGAAATATCAATATATTAAAAATATTTATAATATTATGGCTGTGCTTCTAAAAATTAAGTGTTTTATCCATAACATTAAAAAATTCTAATTAAAATTTTTAGAAAACAAAAAATATTTATAATTATTTCATTAAAATTAGCTCAAATATATACAATATATATTACGATTCAATTGTGGATAATATTTATTGAATATATGTTGTTAATTAACCATAAAACGTTTTATTCTTTTTATTATATTGATGAAATAGTATAAATTATAATTTTTATTTATTTTGAATATAGAAAATTTTATAAATTAGAATTATAAAAATTAATAGTATAGAAATCAAATTAATTTTGATATAAATGAAAATAAAATTTTTATTAAAATATTCTTTAGATTTTGGGAACATTAAAATATTAACGTACTAATTAACGGACTCGTCGATTTTTTTTATTTAAATATTTATAAATTCAAATTAACCCCCAGACTAATTGTATTCTTTATTTAGTTTCAAAAAATATAAATTATTTTTTTTAATATTTTCTTTGACGTTGATTTCAAGTTGACAATTGTATTTACGCAATCTTTATGGAAAAAATTTATAAAATAAACGCATACTGGCTTTAATGTTAAAAACATACTAGAGTATTATGTTTATAAAAAGGATTTATATAAAATTCTTTCCCTAATTTAAATATTTAATTAAATTAAAACAATAAAATTTAAATTTTTTTATTTAAAAATTTTAAATTAAAATATTTATAAAATCAATATTTATATTTATAAGATTGATTTCAAACAACATTGTATTTTCAGAATAGATCATGAAAGAATATTAAATCTTAATTGCTTGTATTGATATTTTTATTAAATAAATGGTATGAATTAGGTAAAAAAATAATCATATTTATATGTAAACATGAAATTATTAATTTTATATAATAACTATGGTTATTTTTTCGGAAAAACTAAATTTCAAATATCTACATATTAGAAATCAATTATTTAGGGATTAATTATAGAATTTAAAACCAAATAACTTCCAAATCTCATTTTTTTGGATTTAATACATAAAGCTCCAATATATACTTGATTAAAATGATATAATTTTATATATGTATTTTAATTAAACAAGGAAATATTAAATTTCTAAGACATACATAACTAATAGTAACTTTTACTTAAACTAGAACCATATTAAAAATCTATATTGTAAATTATATTTAGACTTAAATATACATTAAATTTTTTTCTTTATGAAATTATTTTATAAAAATTTATAGTAAAAATATTAAATAAATTATAAGAAATAAGAAATTCTTTTAAAATAAGTAGCTATTTTTTTATATAATTAATCTTTAAAAAATTTACCAAAATTATTTTTAAAAATAAATATTATTTTTATCATAATTTAAGGCTTTTATTTTTAATGCCATCTAAATTTATATGAATAAAAGCCTATTCTAATAAAATATAACTTTATTATTTTTTCATCTAAAAATAAATTATGAATGTTAATGAAAATAAATGTATAAATGTGGGCGTTCTTGCTCTTCAAGGAGCTTTTTATGAACACTATAAATTACTTAAAAACTTTTCTTTTGTAAATGTTAGTTTAGTTAAAAATGTATCGGATCTTTCTTCTCTCCATGGACTTATTATTCCAGGAGGAGAAAGTACAACTATAGGATATTTACTTTCTTTAGATGGACTTGGCGAAGAAATAAAGGCGAGAGTGGAAAATAAGTCTTTATGTATCTGGGGAACATGTGCAGGAATGATTTTATTAGCGAAAAAAGTTGAAGGAATGAAGAATGGAGGTCAATATATTCTTGGATGCTTAGATGTAGTTATTAAAAGGAATTATTTTGGGCGTCAAATTAATAGTTTTTGTTCTATTTTATCTTCTAATGTTATCAAAAAAGAATTTTCAGCAGTTTTTATTCGCGCGCCAGTAGTATTAAGTATTATTTCTCCTAATGTTTGTGTGTTAGCAACTATTAAAAAAGCTGGAGAAGACAACAAAATTCTAGAAAGCGGTGCTATTGTTGCTGTGCAACAAGACAACATTTTTGCTACGTCTTTTCATCCGGAACTCTCTAATGATAATCAATGGCATGAATGGTGGCTAAATAGTCTTAAAGAACGATATAAAATATATTAGCTACTACTTTTATGAATATGAATCTTAATGTTAATATTTAAAAACATTTTTTTAAACATGTAAATAATAATTTATTATAAATCATATATCCATTAGACCAATTTAATTTAGACATTTCTACATATCATATTCATCAAAAATTATCATTTTTGATAATTATAAAAATTATTTAAATTTTAATTTTAATATATATTTGACATTATTACAAAAACAGCGAGAAGCGTCGATGGTCTAGTGGTTATGATTTGTGCCTTCCAAGCACAAGAGCGGGGTTCGATTCTCCGTCGACGCATCTTTTCAAGTATTCAGTTTTTAGATATTTACTTTCTATTCCTCGTTTTCTTAAAATAATTCAAGTTGAAACTTTATAAAAATTGAAATATAAAAACCTTATTAATTTCTTTAAAAGTAATTTTTAAATATTTTTTATAAGATTACGTTTTATATAGTTTATCAATTTTTTTATTTTAAAAAAATTATTTTAATAAAATATTTCAAAATCAAAGGACTTAGGGAAATATTAACTTAAAACTATGGCCAGTAAATTCGAAGAAACAGGGCTTAAGGAAGAGTTTTCATGTGCTTCATTTGGTGTAAAAGTTGGATTAGCGCAAATGCTCAAAGGCGGTGTTATTATGGTAAATAATTTGCTATTTTCAATACTAAATATATCATACTTATTTGATTATTAGGATGTTGTTAATGTAGAGCAGGCTCGTATTGCAGAAGAAGCAGGGTAGCATTTATATAGATTATTATAAGCATTTACTTAATCTTTAGAGCATGTGCTGTTATGGCTTTAGAAAGAGTGCCATCTGATATGAGAAGTTATGGAGGAGTATCACGTATGTCAGATCCTGAGATAATCAAGAAAATTATGGCAGCCGTAACTATTCCAGTAATGGCAAAATCAAGAATTGGCCATTTTGTTGAAGCTCAAATTCTTGAAGCTATTGGAGTTGATTTTATTGATGAATCTGAAGTCCTTACGCCTGCCGATGATTTTCATATTAATAAACATGAATTTTCAGTACCTTTTGTTTGTGGTTCTAGGAACCTTGGCGAGGCTCTTCGTCGGATTTCAGAAGGCGCAGCTATGATTCGTACCAAAGGAGAAGCCGGAACAGGAGATATAATTGAAGCAGTTCGTCATGCTCGCTCTACTAATTCTTCTATTAAAAAAGCTTCTACTTTATCTGATCAAGAGCTTTTCGTTATGGCAAAAGAAATTCAAGCACCTTATGAACTGTTAAAAAAAACAGCTATGCTTGGGCGACTTCCTGTTGTTAACTTTGCAGCAGGAGGTATTGCAACTGTAAATATTTAGATATTATAATTAAATATACTTTTAATGCCGTGTTAGCCTGCTGATGCAGCTTTGATGATGCAACTTGGCTGTGATGGCGTTTTTGTAGGTTCTGGTATGTTTTTTATCTTTCTCAAAAGACTTAAATTAATTATAGGAATATTCAAATCAGAAAATCCTCTAAAACGTGCGTGCGCTATCGTTCAAGCAGTAACACATTATAAAGTATTTTTTTAAAGCTTTAAAAAATACAAACTAACATTGTTAGGATACTAAAAAACTAAGTGAGATTAGTATGGGCTTGGGTGAGGCGATGGTTGGGATAAGTTGTACAAGCATTACCGACGATCAAAAGTTTTCTAAAAGAAGTTTATAAATTTTGAATTATATAATATTTATTTTGTTTATTAAATAAAAATGTTATGATTAATAACGAAGTATTTATGATTTTTATCAATTTATAAATAACTTTTTTTAATAATAAAAATTAACCATTAGATACTAAACTTTTATATTTTCAAGTCATGTTTAAAAGGCTGGATTCACGGGGAATCGAACCCCGGACCTCACGCAATATTAAGATTGCAAAGCGTGCGTGATAACCAACTACACCATGAACCCCACCTATCTTACTTCTTATATAATATATATATCTAAATAACTGGATTTTCGAGTTAGGTTTAGGATTACGTTTAGGAATTTTATCAGAGCACTTTTCATAACTTATCGCAGCGATAAAGTTTACTTGTTTACGGCCAATATTTATTTCTTTGCTTAACAATATCCCAGTAACTGAGTATTGTTTATGTTGATGCCCTTTTCCATATGATGAGTAGATTATGAAGTATATTCTTATCTTTTTTGCACATTTAAGTTTCATAATGCTAGCCGCTCTAGAAAATACAGTGATACCAGATATACATGAGCAAGGTAAGCTTTTTGAGCAATTTGAGCATTTGTTATTCATCTTTTTTCCCTTTATCTTAAGTCTATACTCTATTTTATCTGATATAGCATCATATTTTCCTTTATTTAAGCGCTTACTTATTTTTTCAGATCAAGTGATAGAATTATTTCAAGATGGAAGAGCATTAAAATTGGGAGAGATAAAAGAGCCCAGAAATACTTGGAATCGTAGATTTAATGAGGATCTTGATGGAACCTACATTGGAGATCGTTCAGGAATTGATTATTTTAGAAAAGATGGGCATGAAGGTTTTTTCACTGAAGAGTATTTCCAGGAGAGCCAATGGGCTGAAGAAGTTGCCCAGAAAGATGAAGCACTGCTTCAGACTGCTAAAAGGGACGTGCCAAGAGTCATGCCAAGACAGGCATCAGTACCGGGCATACCAGGAACAGGGGGCGTACCAGGAGCAGGAACACCAGCGGCACCAGTACTAACAGTATTGAGTGAAGAGCAGGGATTTTTGGTTTTTATTCTGAAGGAGGGTTATAAAAATAATGAATGCGAAAAAAAGCTTAAGGAATATTGTAATGATTTCAAGGAAATGGATTCCAATTTAGAAAAAGTGCATGAAAAAGTTAAAGGACTTTGTGAAGACGGAAAAGAAAATGAAAAATGCACAGGCCTGCAAAACAAAGTTGAAGATGAAGCGAAAAAATTAAAAACGGAACTCGAGAAAGTATTGCCATATCTAACAGAGAAAGAATGCGAAAAAAATGAAGAAAAATGTTTATTTTTAGAAGATACAGGCATAGACGATCTTAAAGAGAACTGCACTCAGTTGAGGAATAAATGTTATGAATTGAAACGTAAAGAAGTGGCGCAAGAACTTCTTTTAAGAGCGGTTGGAAAGGAGGCCAATGAGATAAGTAAATGTGAAAAGAGGATACAAGAAGTTTGCCCGGAATTAAGCATGGAGAGTGATGAGCTGATGCTGTTGTGCCTGTATATAAACAAGGCTTGTGATGATCTGAAAACTAAGCATCAGAGTGTTTGCGATACTTTAAGAACGGCTCTCGTTCAAGTGGATAAAGAAAACTGTCATAAGCGGCTTGAAGACTGCCATTTCTACGGACCAGGCTGTACCGACAATCTGGCGTGCGTAGATGATGTGAAGAACTGCAAAACAAATGCAAGCTTCATCTACATAGCGCCCGTAGATTTTAGTCCGGTGGAAAGAGCGACCTTGTTGGATGAAATTGGGTTGCGAGATCTTTATAAAAAGGCAGAAGGAAAGGGGGTGATCATTGGAAGGCCGAAAAAAATTCACTTTCAAGAGTTAATCTTACTGTTTGCCAGAGAAGATGATACTCCTGGATATGATCCGAGTAAAGAAGGTAATGTGCTACAAAAATGCGAAAAAGTCTTGGGAAACTGCTCTGGATTTGCTAGAGGTCTACCTCATTCCTTTGAAGCTTTATGCAAAGAAGCATGCATAAATAAGACCAAACTATGCCCAAAATTTATAGAAGTGAGCAGCCAATGCCAGATTTTGAAATTACAACTTTATTTGAGTGGTTTATCCACGGATTTTAAGCAAGAAGACTCAAATTATTTGCCGTGGGAAGATTTTCCAACGTCCATCACCAGGCAGGAATGTACAGAGTTTGAGTCGGAGTGTCTCTATTTTGAAAAGTTTTGCGATAATGAGAATCCGAAAGGAAGAGCAGTCTTGGAAAAAGCCTGCCAAAATGTGAGGGCAGCATGTTATAAAAGGGGACAAAACCGAGTGTTGAACAGGGTGTTTCTGAATCAGCCGGAGGGCACGTTTCATAATTTGACATCGGATTATGGTATGAAGAAGTGCGAGCAATCAGTGTTGGACCAATGCAAAAAACTCGGAAAGGACGTGGACAGCAGACAGATTACACGATGCCTCTTCCCGAGAGGACTCTGCTACGGACTTTCAGATGATGTTTTTGTTCAATCGGAAGAATTAAGGACGCTTTTAGATTCAAGACGACATTATCTAACGGAAAAAGTATGTACTGAGCTGCAAGAAAGGTGTAATAAGCTTGAAAGCTATGCCGATCTTGGAAACTACGTACATTTAAACACTGAAAGGTGTACTGCGCTAAAGAGACGCTGCGATTTTTTGAAAGTCTCTGAAGCCCTCAGGCAAGAATTCTTGAAGCGGGAGAACGACGACTTGCAAAATCAAGACAATTGCACCAAAGCGTTAAAAGAAAGATGTAGTCGTCTAAGCAGGCGGAGAAACGATCCATTCGGTATTTCATGCGTTTTGCAAGAAGATGTCTGCAAATATATGGTTGAACGAACGCAAGATCAATGTTATTATCTTGAAGTTAATATGATGCTACATGATGTTCTGAATAAAAGCAAAGAGAGCAATGAAGCATTGGTTGAGGAGATCTGCACCTTATGGAGTTCATATTGTGATCAATTGATGAACAATTGCCCAGATAAGTTGAAACAAAATGCCAGCAGCTCTGATCGAGACGGACCCTGTGAACAACTCAAGGAGAACTGCGAGTCGTTCTGGAAGAACTACAGGTTGGAGGAGGAATTGATTCATGCATTGAAAGGTAGTTTAGGCGGGAAAGATGAATGTCAAAAAGCGTTGGGACAGCGCTGCGAAGAGTGGAAAGGAGAAAGCGAGAAATTCAAGGCATTGCTTAGGGATTGTAAAGATAATAATAACGTTAGTAAAATCTGCGAAAAACTGGTTGAAAGACTGGAAAAGAAGTGTCCATCCTTAAAAGTTGATTTGGAGAATGCGGAGAAAGCTTTAAAAGAGAAGAAGAATGATTATGAAAAGCTGAAACAGGAGGTTGAGGAATTAACAAGGGATGCCAAGTTACTGCTGTCGAGACCCAAGGGAAATGCATTACCAAGCGCGCAGAATAGTGGTGCGCCAGCACCAGTACAACCAGTTCCAGCACCACCATCCGCACCATCAGGATCAGTACCAAATGCAAATACAACGATCAAATCCAGGCTTGTCAAGAGAGACCAAGCACCAGTAGATAGCGAAAATGCATCAGCAGCGCTTGACGCAACGACCCTTGATGCAAAAGCGTTTGATGCAACAGCATTGGCATTGGAATTGTATGTAGAGTTGAAGAAGGAATGCGACGTCTTGCAATTGGATTGTGGCTTTAAGGAGGATTGTCAAAAAGTTAAAAAAGATCTTGAAGCTTGCGAGGAAATAGACAAGCTGTGCAAGGCAATCGAGCCACTGGAAATTAAGCCTCACCATACAGTGATAATGACAACAACAGTAGAAATATCGCTTTCTAGTGGAGCGATAGCCACAGAATCGGAGAAAAGGATGGAAAAAACGATCACAATAGTAAAGACTATGAATAAAACGCTAACAAGAACAAAGATAATAGAAAACGGGGGTTGTACGTCATTATGTGATATAAATATGCAGGAGACAAAAACGTCCTATCATAAGAGCACGGTGACCACGACCATGACAAGCACATTGACGGTGACATCGACTATAAGATTGACGTCAACACTAAAATATACGCCTACGAAATCTACAACTGATTCGACTAAAGAAACGCAAAAACCTGAGCCTACATGGTGTACAACCGATTCGACTAAAGAAACGCAAAAACCTGAGCCTACATGGTGTACAACCGATTCGACTAAAGAAACGCAAAAACCTGAGCCTACGAAATCTACAACCGATTCAACAAAAGAAACGCAAAAACCTGAGCCTACATGGTGTACAACCGATTCGACTAAAGAAACGCAAAAACCTGAGCCTACGAAATCTACAACCGATTCAACAAAAGAAACGCAAAAACCTGAGCCTACATGGTGTACAATCTATTCAATTAAAGAAACACAAAAAGAGGGAGAAGTACTGAAACCCAATGAGGGAGTGAAAATAAGGATTTCAGAAATGATAAAAATAATTTTTTTTGGAACGATTATAATGGGAATATTATGAAATGAATGAAAACAATATCATTAGAAGAGAATTGCATCCATGCATTGTGTATATATAATATCGGAAGATCTGACGAATCATGAGGATATTTTTAATGAGGAATGAACTGCATATCTTATAGTCTACAGATTATGACAGCTTTGGGCTTGACCCTGATAATATGGAGCCCAACGAGTATTTGGGAGTGATTCAGATGCTTCAGGAAGCCAAGAAATTGAGTCACGGCAAGTTTGACCGGGAGAAGAACTTTTGGAAGCGGAAATTCGGCAGAGATATTTACGAGGGACGTCGGGGCGAGCGTCCGGGGGTTGATTATTTCAGGCCAGAGACTGAAGACCCTTTCCCTTCTACCAATCTGGGGGGCGGGGATCGTTGGTTTGAGCATGGGTTTGACTTGGGAGAAGCGGCACAGCCGGTCAAGAGGGAGGCACCAGGACCGAAAGCACCAGGACCACAAGGACCACCACCACCAGGAGGACCAGGAGCAGTACCAGGAGGACTACCACAAGTAAAAGCAGAAGGCATTGGGGAGGAACTTATTTTGGCTTTGATTGTGAAGAGTGAATATAGTGATGTTAATAAATGCAAAGCAGAGCTCAAGAAATATTGTGATGGATTGAAGAAAACAGATCCGAAATTAGAGAAAGTGAATGATAAAGTTAAGGGACTTTGTGAAAATGGAAAACCAGAAGAAAAATGCAAAGAATTGGGAAAAAAAGTTGGAGATTT